TTTATCTACTATTATAAATGAGGTTAATAAATCAATCTACTGCCTGAGTTTGATAGAATAACTCTCGTTTAAGACAATATTGGGGTTAGGATCAGTTTATCTACTATTATAAATGAGGTTAATAAATCAATCTACTGTCTGAGTTAGATGGAATATGCTCATATTTGTTTTTTATAAGTCAGTAAAATGTTTGTTATTATATTTACAGTTAATCTTCAGGGCTGTTGATATGAATCTAGCACGTTTATTTATAGACATTACTAGCATGATGTTGATTTTAGACAAGATTTGCGTAACTTCTTATACTTTCACGAAGTCTAACAATGTAAGGAAGCGTGTCCAAAAGCAACAATAATTTAGTTCTGCATGCCTTGAAAAATAACTTAACATGCTGATAGTATTAACTTAACATATTAATAGTATAGAATTACCGAAGCAAAGGACATTCGAAACAAAAAAAAGACTGAGTTAAATTTCCAAACTAACATAGCAGTTTTTTTAAAGTATTGTGAAAATATGTATACGTTTTAAATAAAAACTGCCATTTTGTTTAACCGACTACCACGTTCAGTGGAAGTCCTGGAATTCAGTCCGTGCAGCATTGTAAGATCCTTTAGCGCAGAATCTACTGAGAACAATTTTCAGGTCAGATTGTCTTCCAGTGATGTGATACGCAGGTATTTCAGAGATGTCGAAAAAAATGTACCATTCGTTTTAGCTTGTGAATCTTTTTCTTCATTATAAATAGAACCTGACGACTTATTTTAAAACGTTGGTTATTTAGTCGTTTGGATGATCATACATGTAGCGCACTATTGTTGTTTGTTATTAAGCACAAAGCTACACAGAGGGCTACCTGTGCTCTGCCCATCACGGGTACCGAAACCCGGTTTCTAGCATTGTAAGTCCGCAGACATACCGCTGTGCCACTGGGGGGCATAGTAGTTCACTAAATGTAAAGTCAGTAGTTAATTTATAAACAAAAACATTGATTTCTTGTAGATATCACCTTCCATGATTATCTCTAATGATGGGTAAGCATTGAGTTTATGGACTTATAACGCTAAAATTAGGGGTTCGATTTCCCGCAGTAGACGAGTGCAAATAACCCATTGGGTATCTTTGTTCTAAAAAAACAAAAACAAAAAACAGAATTAGCTGCATAAGCCCACGTAATACTCACTTGTTCAGAGCGATCCTTAGAAAATGACCTGGTTTTATGATTAATAAGTTCTATTGGATAATAAGTGTGATATGATATTACGATAAGATTGATAATGATTTTAACCGCCTCAATTTTTACTGGCTCGTTACGTGTTTCCAGTTAGATAAATTTTAAAAGGCTTCCATCTTTGACAACGGTGTATGTGTATACAACACAGAAAATGTAGTTGACATATTATTATATACGTTTCTTCGTGAGACACTGTGTTGCAACAGTATGAAGAAATTTTCTTATTAGTCTTGCTGTGATACGATCTCATTTTTTTAAAATTTTAACTTCATACAATTCATAAACCATATAAAAAAATTGTAAGCAGCCTGATTTGAGAGTTCAGAGAAAGCAAAAAAGGAATTGTTTTTTTTGAATTATGAAAGATTAGAAATCACGCAGTTCTTTCATTAATGCGTAACCTGAAAATGTATTCATATATACATTGTTATTTCCTCCTTAGACCATCAACAGTCCTTCCTATCTGAACGAAAGGCTTCACCATTATGGAGAAGCAAACGGATTTTACCCACTTTCTGGTGAGTAGATTTTTTTATTAAGTTCATTCTTCATGTGTTTCAAACCATGATATTTGTTAAGACTACGAAATTAGAAGGTTAATTGGTTTGCCTCCTTTTTGCTTTTCTTTTACACATGTAACTATTCTTTGTAAACTTTGCACACACCTGTCTCTGACTCGATAGGCCTACGATTCATTATATTTTAACACCGAGCGATATTGGTGGATAAAGTGTATCTGTTCTGTTGATATATTTCAGACTCATATCCGAGGGTTAATGTTGTACATTTCCGAGTATATACTAGTAATGTAACTAATATCACTGTTTAAGAGCCTTTTTAATAATCACTTTAAAGAAAAAAAGTATCTTTCTCGTCCTCTGCTTCAAATCACAAAGATGGTTTAAAGTTACATCAAATTTTCGTCTTCTTTCCCATCCTAACAATGAATAATTGTTTTCCAAGTTCACAGTACTTTTTCCGACCCTAAATGTCGTTATAATGGTATTAAAATGATTTGCTCCATCGTGAATTATGCTGCACAACGTTCAAACCGATATCCTCGCCCCCACGGTATATAAGTATCCTCGCTCCCACGGCATATAAATTCTTACTCTATTTTATCCTGAAGGTAGATGAATTTTATCTCATCTAACTCTAACAATAGACAAATTGAGAGTTTTAGCTGACCAACAAGACCAAAGGTTTACGCCAACCAGACTATTACGAAACTTTACTACTTCTTATCCTGACTAAACAAAAGTTTCTCCATTTAAGTGACAATGGATAAAATTAACTCCACCGCACTTATACAGTGGATAAACTTATCACAATACGACAGTTATCTTAGACGAGCGTTATTCTAACTAACTCGCGTAATAGATACATTTACTAACCTCATTTATAATAGTGGATAAATTGATCACAACTCCACTATTATCTTAGACGAGAGTTATTCCATCTAACTCGGATAATAGATTGATTTACTAACTTCACTTATACAGTGGATAAACTTATACAATCCTACTATTATCTTAGACGAGAGTTATTCCAAACTAACTGAGGTAACAGATTGACTTACTAACCTCATTTATAATAGTGGATAAACTGATCCTAACCCCAATATTATCTTAGACGAGAGTTATTCCAAACTAACTCGGGCAGTAGATTGATTTACTAACCTCATTTATAATAGTAGATAAACTGATCCTAACCCCAATATTGTCTTAGACGAGAGTTATTTGGTCCTCGTCACCACGACTATGATCACTATATTAAGTTATGATAGGTAAAAAGATCAAATCATAGAAGCCTATCGTCAACTTACAGTTGTTTATCAAATTCCTTAAGGAAGCCGTGAAATAGTAAATACATTATATTATAATATCTAAAATACACATTTGAAGTAAAAAAAGAAAAGGGATTAATTGAAAAGAGCGGACACTTTTTGGTAACATCTACTTATTGAACTATGGAGTGTGGGAAAATTTCACATTTTTAAGGCTGTAGCTCAAACCTAAACAGGTGTAAGGATCCGAGAAAAGCAAGTTGTCGGAAACTAAAGATATATTGGAAATATACGAACCTCTACACATAACACCACGAGGACATCAAAGATAAATTATGGCTTTTGCTAGATTTCAAAAGAGGCTGGTTAAGTGTTTTGCAGTTTCACTAAGGTCGTTTGTGAACACTTAGATAAATAAACAAGCACGGTGACTCCGATATTTTGGCTTAAGCATGGCGTGTCAAGAGCTAGATAGGGTGATAAACTGTCTAATTGAGTTCACAGGCTTCTGAGAAGAATTATACTGCAGATAAAACTTATTATGCTACTTAGCGTTTGATAAAAAAAACAAAAACTCTTAACTTCAATAGAGATTTTTTCGTATTTTCTTATATTTCTGTTATTTATTTTAATGAAGCCATCGAAGTGAATTTTAAAAGTATGGAAACAAATAATATCCATAGTAAAACACGAGACAGTATAATTAAAAATGATATATTTAATGTTTTTCGTTTTACCTTATTTTTCATCAATATTTATCTTTATGAAGAGTTAGTCTTAAATGTTTGATAATAAACAAATCATGAGTAAAAAATGTAACTTTTTATGAGCCCGATAGATTTTGAATTTTGACAAACGTCTAATGTTTCTAGAGTGTTTATTGATCTTTGGAAACATAAATAGTTAAACTCCCCTTTTGGGGGGTAATGACCTATAAAATTACATACCTTAACCTTCATTTTGGGGGATAATGACTTGAAAGGGTTAACGCATGTAAGCTAGATAGAGCTGACACATTTTATCTTCTTTGATAGATTGTTTAGGCAAAGTATTCATGATGAAACTTTGTAGAATAGACGGTAACTGCCTGTTGTAGAGACACAAGTGTAGAGGATGACGTTTTGAGAGTCTTCCGGCGTCATTAATAAAACAATGTTTGAGGAATCGAACCTGAAGACGAAAGGCAGAAGACTTTCGAAACGTCTACACTTGTGTGTCTACAACAAGCAATTACCACCCATTCTACAAAATTTCAACGTTTTATCTTGATTTCTAATATGACGACATTTTAAATTTTCTTGTTTGTTTATTACTAAGCACAAAGCTACACGATATGATATTTCTTCTCTGTCTATCAAAATATCGAAACCCGATTTCTAGCGTTACTTACCGCTAAACCACCTAGTGGTGACATTCTAGGTAGTAATATAAACTTATATTTCCCAATGTTTAATAACGAGCGGTATATCAGGTGTTCTTTTCACTTACTATAATACGTACTGTCCTAATGAATGGCGTACTACAGGACCAAATTACTTACAAACAACGAGACATCACACAAAACTGGAGCTGAGTTAATCCATTTAATATTCTATTTACTTTCTCCAACATTACAGTGTTCGAGTTTTGTGTATTGAGGCAAAATTAGAAATAAATAAATTAAAGCTAGGTCACAATTTTTTGTAACCAGTTTGACCAACACATTGGTGACAGAAGAGCTAAATAAAAGTTACAGTGATTATGGTCAGGCTACATTTATAGACGAAATTGCTGTTGGTGTGAATCATAGTTAAAAAGTTGACTTTCTGTATTGTTATTTGATAAATTGGTACATAAAATAATGAGAGAATTGAACATTCTTGCTCAGATATAGAAAAACTATAGCACTTATGTATGTTCACAGTATACTTGTGTACATATCACCTATACCTGCTCATCAAGTCAACTTTGATAGTTAGATATTAAAATCTTTTTGTAGTTTCGCAATAATGCCCAGATATTTAGTGAAATAAATTTAAATATTAAATTATTTATTGTTGGTATCTCAACACAGAATCATTTGAAAGTTCAAACTGAAATAACTACTGCTTGAACTAAGCTGCATGACTAAACATGACTATCGGAAACCTTGGCTATAGATGTTTCTTTCTATTTTTTTTGGAGGGGGTATTTCTCGTAATTGGGTCACTACGGATTTTAATTCACAGTAGTGTATAAAAACCTTTCAGATCACATATTGTCTGTTGCAAGTTACTGTCTATGAGTACATTCGTTCAATACTAGAACTCGTCAGCTGGACTGGACTATATAAGCCAAAAGCTTATGTGAAATACTTTTTACAATAAATACAAATTAACCTTAAATGTGGAAAGCTTGCGAAACTATTCGTTTCCACAGTTTTATTAGCTTTCGACATAACATCACTAACCATCATTATCGTTTCTTTTCTTTTGGTTGATGTTAAGTATAAAACTACACAATGAGCTATCTGCGCTCTGCCCACAACAGGCATCGAAACCCGAGTTTTAGCGTCGTAAGCCTGCAGACTTATCGCTAAGCCACTTGGCAGGTGGCAACAATCTATCTGCCTATCTATCGGTAAGCTGTTATTACAAGTGAAATTTACCTTACTGTGTAAGGGTAATTAGTAACTACTGTTCTGTAAATAATACGCTGAAACTAAAAGACTGTATAACATGTAAATGACCAAGAATCTTGTCATGGCATCTTGAGTCACTCAGTCCGTATTTAGGTTCAGATTGATTATTATTTAAAAAAACATTAACGCTGACATTAGGCGAATATTACCACTAAAAATATTTTCCTTTCTTTTAAAAAGACATAACAAAGGATTATACCTTGATGCACTATAAACATGATATTTTTGGTTCTGTATATAAAGACTCAGTTTAACAGTGTTTTGGAGAAAAATTACTTAAATATATATATATATACTCAAAAGCTTTATACTATCTTGAACTTTTACACTGAACATGATAACACTGAAATAGAAAGCATTCTAAAAGTAATTTTATATGGAACTTAAACTCACGTCAGACATAAAATGTTTATTAGATTTGTTCAGATTTGTACTTACATTCGAACGATAAACATAAAGACCTAATAGTTATGTTTTGTATTGTTTGTTCGTTTTCCCGATTACCTAGTTTAAACTCAATGATACGATGATGAATATCAAGGCTCAGTAGTTTTGTGTTCAAAAATATTCGTTTTTACTATCACCGCATCTGGAAGTTAGTATTAAGTTCACGTGTAGAGTTTTACATAGTAAATCAAGCAAAAGTTGTATCATTAATGCATATTATATTATATCGTAATAATCAATATTCAATAACTAAGTGAAAACTTCATAACCGGGACAGAAGTCTCCGTATTGGTATACCTGTTGCCATTTCTTTTAGCTACTGTACTTAACGTCATTTTCTCTTTTTTTCTTTGTTTAAAGTGCTATAATATAGATCAGATCAACCAATTTGTTCTTCATTGAATCAAAATTTATTTCAGACTATAGAACCTAATTAACAGAAACTGTCGTTGATTTTTCTTAAAGCAAATTACTTGATTACGTCTGATATCTTATTCAGACATGTTTAAACCTCTAATTACATGTTTCACAACCACATGTATTTTGAAGCTGTATTCTGTGGAAGTCATTAACACAACAATAAAACAATGTTTGAGGAATCGGAATTCACGCGTTTAGACGGAGCT